CTCCGCTTTGTTTTTAAAAAATATGAATAATATAAACACGGATGTCTGGGGGAAAGTGATTCGCCTACATTTTATGAATGCTGGCGTACCATAAAGAATAAATTATGAACTGTTTATTTTGTGCCTTCAAGTCGTTGCTCATAGGAAGACGTTACTTGGATATAACCTAATGGAATATCTTCAGAACAGCTGCAAATGACATAAAACTAATATGGGTGAGTAGAACATGATGTAATAATGTAAAATCAAGGGCCCAATGTAAAAAAAAAAATAAAAAAAAAGGCGTTCCCCTTTAATAGCATTGGGCAGTGGCGGCCTAGTGGTTAGGCCATAGAGCTTGGAATCCTGAGGTTCTGAAATCGAGCCCCACTCCCACAGACCGCCACTCTGGGTCTCTGAGCAAGATCCTTAACCCAACACACATGCCCGGACGCCCCACGATGGCCGCCCCCTGCTCCCTAAGGGGAAGGGTTAAATCAAAGGTTAATTTCTCCAATGAGAGATCAATAAAGTTCAATTATTTATTATAACAGTTGTGATGATCATGATAGAAAATGTGTTATTAGTTTCTTATTGTAACTAGCAGTTAATATTTATAATAGGTGGTACTATTTTGCTGACCAGTGTGTCAACTTCCTGTTTGTTCTCAGGCTCGGCTCAACTGTAAGCACTGCGGGAAGCCGGTGGTGGACGTCCGAGTCGGGATGCAGTATTTCTCAGAGTACAGCAACGTCCAGCAGTGCCCTCACTGCGGCAACCTGGACTATCACTTCGTTAAACCCTTCTCCTCCTACAAAGTCCTCGAGGCTTATTGACAAATGTTTCAACACGCGCTAGTTCGGCTGCTTTTTTTTCTCATTTGTTTTCTAACACAATCTAGGAAAGATCTCTAATTTTTTTGGGGGCCTTAAGGTGGTTTTATGTTTTAAAGTTCTCTCCTCCTTTGAATGCGTAGGGAAAATGTGACAGAAGGACGAGTTAAAGAACTGTTAGGAGAGGCGATAAAATGTGGAGCTGACGTTTTCAGTCAAGTGAACACATTTATCTGAGACACGTGAATGTATCTGTATGCCAAAATTTGCTTTTATTTTTTACCAAAACTGATCTTAAAATAAAGAGAGATTCACACTGATGATGCTGTTTGCATTTTCTTTACATCCCAAACATTCATTACTTTTATTTCCACACAGTTTGGCAAACCTAATACAAAACAGACTAAAAACTAAACTGGATCCATGTGTATGATTTCTCCCTGACCCAACCAGCCAAATGTTCCCACCCAGGGCTGATCCTAACAATAAAGGTGACCCGTGTCTGTCCTGAAGTGTTAAAAGCTTCAACTTGAAGCTCCATGAATCTGTTTTTACAGAATCCTTGCACACCAAAGCTCTCTCAACCCTTTCATAACATGTAATTATTCTGCAGGAGGGTCAAAGATGCTGCTTGCATGTCTCTGGTCTTTGTCAAATCTTAAAGAAGTTAGTTTAGGTCCTGTGAAACAAATGTTTTTAGGTTGTTTTGAGTCCATTTTTTTTATTTTTAGCTACCTTTGTGGTTCATTTTGTAGGTTAATCTTATTGTGAGGTCATTTCCATGGTTACTGTCCCTTTTACTTGCATGAGTCTAGCAGCTGAATGGGATCTTTTTATGTTTGTCTTCTCGGTAGCTTCTTTTTGTTTCGTCTTAAGTTTTAATGCAGTCGGTTTGACATCCCAGCTAAAACCGTTGCTAAAGATGACCCTAAACTCTCCAACAGAAGCACCGGGCTGTAACATCCAGGCACCGAATTGTTCGTGTGAAAGCGCTTCTCGCATCACTGCTGTACCAACTCCTCTGGTGTGTTGCTAACAGGAGGCGCTTTGCTCTGAGTACCTGCAGGCTGCATCTCCTCAGTTTTGTTCTTTGCTTGCAGCGCCAGCTCCTTTGCGGAAGGCGGTCGGAGGACGCACATGGCCACCTGACCCTCTCTTGTAACTTTAGGCTTAGAGACGTAGCCCACCATCAAGTTCATTTGCTCCACCATTTGTTCCAGAGTGGTGTCCTGCAGAGAGAGAAACCAACCTTCAGTAACTCATCTGGTCCAGTTGTTATAAAGAAGTATTTGACCATGAATTTGTTCTGTTTTGGTTGTTGTCTCATTTTAATTGCTTCAGATCAGAAAATAAACGATAATTTCAGGAAAATGTAAAAGAAAATGCAAAAATACATCTTAAAATGGTCAAATATACTAATGTAGAAACCATGAGTGACAAAGTGATTCGACTTGTGAGGATTAACGGCTATAGGGACAATCTGAGTCTGCATTAAAAGCACTTTCCCTGGATGAAGGACTTCCCCAATGATTGGCCAACCAATCAAAATCCCATCAGAAGCTCATCCAGGAGATCAAAGTAAAGCTGACGTCACAAAAGTCCACAAAAACAAACCAGTGTTGATGTGGCCTAGTTAAAGCCTCAATGGTGACCCTTTAAAACGGGTCATTTAATGTGGGAGAAAAAGCCTCTGTTGTTATGTGGAAGACTGAAGGCTAGATGGCAGCAGTTCACCAGGAATGGAAAACAGTACTTTAGTTGTTCCACACAGGATCAGAATGGTCCAGCAGGCATTTACATATTTAATAAATTCAATTAACAGCATTTTTTATTGAGCCAGCTTGTCTTTATCTGAAACATTTAAGGGGAAAATATAAAATCTATTGAAATTAGCGATTAAAGAAAATTTTTTTTACAAAATAATTGTGTATATAAATAAAATACTAATATTATGCTGATAAAACCAGAAAGTTTCCCACATATCTGCCCATAAATGAAACCCAAACTGGTGAAATTGATCTACAGTAGGTTCAGCATAAGGCAAGTTAAATTCAAGACTTTTTAATGCCACTTGAAATAAAAATTTAAGACCAAATTCACAAGAAACACAAGAAAAACCTGCTTGCGACAACTTAACCCAAAGGTTTATTTTAACATAAACCACTGCACTAATGTTTCAAATTTTGAAAAGCTTCCCATACAGGAAGAAAGCTAAAAACACATAAATGACAGATATATTTTAACAATTATTTAACTGAATTCACAAACTTTGTTTTAGCAGGGAACAAAACAAATCAGTTTTAAAGCCACAAAATAACCAGTGCTAAGTCTTTTTTGCAGCTATTTTTCTTTGTATGGTTTTCCTAGTATGTTTGATTTGGTGATAAGTGGAGGCGTTGCAGAGACAAGGGTGGAACAAAACTGAGAAATACCGGCTGTTTCTCGGTAACTCGATTTTGACGCTTTGTGTTTCGTGCTTCGCATGTGCGACTCCACTGCCTTAATTCCCATCGTTCCGAGCTTGAATGACTTCTTGCACAAAATACACTGTGCCTCATGTATGTTTCCTGGTACTGGTTTTAGCCATGGAGAAAACTCTTGGCTGGAGCCAATTTTGGTTACATTTACACTCATATTTTCCAGACAAAAACTTAATGGTGCATCTCCCAAATGTCCTCGCCGCAACAACGCTTTTATTGGTTCTGCTATCGGGACAGAACCAATAATGGCGAGCCATTATCTTCTTTCTATTTATTTTCTTTATTAAAAAAAAAAAAAAATTGTCAATTTAAAAGTTTTACTTAGATTACAAAAATAAACCGTAATAAAAATAATCCTATTTATGATGTTTTAAAAATTGAGACCTACGAAATACTGATTTAAGAAATTTTAATACCAATTAAGACCTTAGTTTTATTTTGAAGAATTCAATGCCTTTTAAGACTTTTTAAGGACCCGCGGGAACCCTGAAGTTTAATTATGATGCTCACCAGGTTAACCGCCTGTTGTCCGTGTCCTGCCCTCAGAGTCAGCCTGACGTGGTGTTTCTTCTCCAACCAGCTCTCCACCTGCTTCAGTTTAGTCGACAGGTCATGGGAGGCAATGCCAGCTGAAATGCTGAGTTCCTTTACCTGCACAGGAGCTGTGGAGAGAGTGCAGACCAGGTAGTGAAGACTTCCACTGAATCAAACCGTTTCAAGATCCTGAATACCTCCTTCTGTATTAGTTTTCTGCCTACTATGCCTTAAAACTTTCTCACCTCAGTCAAAAATCTCACCTGATAAACAGTCATGCAGCATAAACTGAATGGAATCAGGATGAGGTGGACTCCTGCTTCATTTGATTTATATATTAACTTTCTAACAAATAAATGCTGCAAAATATGCATGAACCTTTTTGCGTTAAAGTGCCTACCATTTACTAAATACCTTGTTGGAGCAGCTTTGGATTCAATGCAAACATTTGGTTCTCCTTGTAAGGGCTCCAAGCTTTACCTTTCTACATCTGTTGTCTATAGGTGACCCTACAGATTAATTCTGCATTCCAGCCCTAAACTGTCATTTCTTTCACTGAAGTGGTTCTTTGGTTTATTTGGATGCATGTTTGGACTTAAAAAGATGATAAAAAGAACATATTTCTTTGTTTTTTATCTGCCAAGAAGAGACCTTAAAGTTTGGGGCTCAAAACAGCAACATTTGGATCAACATTGAAAAAGATCCTCATACCATAAGAAACATAACAGACCATGATGCTGCCACCGCCATGTTACAATGTGAACCTGGGGATCTTTTGATGTGTCCTGAGTTGTTTTGTGTCAAACAAACTGAATGCTTAAGTTTGATTCTCAATACAATTCAGAAATACTTTAATAATCCCAAAGGGAATAAAAAAAAAATATGATTCATTATTCCTTTTTTATTTTTCCATAATGGTTTTATTTTAGCTGGGCCCGAATGTCTCCTTTGAAAGAAAAAACTGCCTTGCAGCTTCATCATTCTATGCAAAGAAAACTGGAGATTCTGAACTCTTTTAAACTAAAACCAGTCATTTCCTTCATTTCCGGATTTCGTCAGTTTTGGAAAAAGCCCCTGGTTTTGCTAAAGTTTCTGTTGTTATAATTTTTTTCCAGAGATTCTAAACTTACTTTATCAGTAATGCTGTCAAAATGTGTTTGTGCTCATCTCCTGACTAAAGCCTCTGCATAAAAGGAAGTAACCTGATCCTCTGCAGGCTATATTAACATGGAAATATCAGCGGAAATCCTACAAGGACAACTGAGTTTTATTTCCACTTAAAGGAAAATTCCGGTTTTTAACACTTTTAGCCCATTTTCTGTAGTGTCCAGGATGAAATCGAATGATCGACACCAAAATTTTGA